GTATGGAACCCAAAAAATCGTAGGAACCCTGCCTTCCAAGCACCCTGGGCGCCGAACACTTCCATCCAAGTGACCAGTGTGGCCTGTGCACCATCGTTCTTCTCCCCTCCTGCCCCCCAACCTTGGTGAGGCCCTGGGTCTGCTGTGGGCCCCCGCTGAGAGACCTTTTTCCGTTCATGAAGACCAGAGGTGGGTGCTAACAGTGAATCAGCTCACCTTGGGGCCACCATCACTGCCTCTCCACCATCTCCCTCCTCCTCATTTAGAACCTTAGTTGTATGGACTCCATCCAGCCTGACACCAGCGCCTCCTCAGCTGTTTATGTAGACGTGGCTCAGGAGTGGAGGGAGGACAGATGCAAAAGGCTTAGTGATTCTCACCAGTGCACACAATCCTGGACACACTGCTTGCTTGGAAACTTTCCCCATGGTGACGCCTTCTCACATAACAGCGTCTGTATTTTACAAAAAGGAGCCCTGATGGCTGCTAACCGAAAGGTTGGCAGTTTGAACACACCAGCTGCTCCACGGGAGAAAGATGTGGCAATCTGCTCCTGTAAAGATGACAGCCTTGGAAACCCTATGAGGTAGTTCTGCTCTGTCCTATAGGGTCGCTATGGGTTGGAATCTACTCAACAGCAACGGGTTGGTTTGTTTTAATTTTACAAGGGAGAATAATGCCTGGATTACCAGAATACCTCTTGGTTCTTTTGATACAGAGCTTAAGACAATCAAAAGCCAAGGAATTTCCCTTCTTGGCACTGGGCTTACGTACCTGCTGCTTTGTTGGCGTGGAATATGCTGCCGACGTCTGAGCCTCCCATCAGTTCTCTGCAGCGGAGCACAGTTAGGGTGTGGTATGGAGCTGGGAGCCTGAGCATTACGTGTGAGGGATGTTTCCAGCTGGGGTAGACGCGTGCTTTCAATCCTTGTGTTCTGATCATTTAGGTCTCTCTTTATAGGGCATCTTTTATGACCAAGACTGTCCAGTACCAAAATGAGCTACATAAATTCCTAATCTGGGATACGGCTGGACAAGAACGAGTAAGTCACTCTTTAATTTACTACGTGTTTTTCTGAGGCCCCAATTAAGGCTCCAGCTGAGCTGTCAGCATCCCTGGCGTCTTTCCGTTACTCACTCCTGTCCTGGGCGCCAGAGACGCAGTTATTTCCACCTGCATAGGCCAGCCTTTTTCTTTCCAAT